CGTTCAGAGGCACAAGATACGCCCCCCCTGTTTTGATTTTTGGCATATTAAACCTTTTCCGACCAGAACTGTCTGCCAACAGCCAACTCCACACGTGGCAACAGCAGAAAGTGACCTGACTCTAAGCCTGGTTTATGCTCTGAACTTCAGACAAAGTGGGGTGAGGTAACCACAAAAGTCCCATCCCTCCCTATCGTTGGATAGAAACACCCCAGCGCCAGGATTTGCAGCAGTATTTGCCCAGAGTTTGGGATCCTATTCCATACGTATGGGTCTCAGAACGGGGTCTGACTGGGAGAAGTGGTGAATAACCAGTATCTCCTATGGTCTTCAATGGAAACTGCTGTTTACGCTGAGCTGTAGGCTTCTCTCCAGGCATGGATCATCTGGTGGACACAGCTTTCTCCCTTATATTGCTATCTCTCTCCTCTTTCTTTCTTCCTTCCTGCCTCCTGTGGTTTTTTTTCCTTTCTTTTTCTACTTTCCTATCCTTGTCAAAAGCTATGTGTATCTGTGGGAACCATACACATCATCCTCACCAACACACAAGTTCCTGTTGATGTGAACACGCTTCCACCGCATGCTACACTTATTTTTTTAATGTGGTATCCAAACCACTTGCCGGAACTGTCAATCACTGAAACAAATCCCAGAATTGGTGGTGGTGACAATGAATAACATCAAATAATAAAGATGGTGAAGTGCTGGAATTTCCACGATCCGGTCACAGTGTGCATGTACCACTATTGAGCTGAAACGGGTTCCCTCACGGACTATCAAGCTCTGTTTTAGCTGGCCGCTTCTGGATTCAGCTAACTTGGGATTTAAGGTAACCAATAATAGTCAAAGACCTTTTAAGTGTGAAGTTCAGTAAAAACACCCCTGCATAATCTTTTTCTGACCACTGCCTTAAAACACATAAAATCAATTTTAAAAGCTCCCTCACCCAATATCTTGCCATGATTACTGCAGGAGAGAAAGAAATTTGGAACTTGTTTTCCAACTACTAAGACAATAAAGCAAGAAACCAAAATATTGGTCCCTCTTCAAGCACACTGGGCTCCACCGCAAGCTACATTTATATTTCTATTTTTTAAGACCACTAGTGAAAAACACCCAAAACTCTTCAGCGCAGCCGCTGAGTATCTGCAATTTTCTATAACCCTTCATAATTCTATTTCTCAGTCAAACTTGGTAGGTAAGGCAGGCAATTCAGACTGCTCAACAAACCCTGGCTGGAGCTGGAACACGGACGATAGGTGCTGGAAGATCTGATGCCCAGAAAATACCCTTCCCATCACTGAGAAACACAGCACCTCTAGTCTTGGGGCTCGCTGCTGCAACCAACACAACAAGCACTAAAGCAAAAGGTGCCCAATAGAAGCAGTTCACGTGAACTGCATTTTGCTAAATGTAAACTTACATTTTCCAGTTAAGTCTTTTTCTCCCTGATATTATTAAAATGTGATGAAACTAGGAGTGGCAGGCTGGAAACAAGGAGAAGGAAGCGATTCTGGGAACAATGTGCACTGAAGCGGTGGAGCTCTCTGCTGAAGGCCTTGCTGTAGGTGCCGAGAGACTCCTCGGGTCCAAAAACCCAGAGTGTGGATTTGGGGAACAGCAGATCTCCCTCTTGCAGAGGGAAGTCTCCGCACTGCCACACTCCCACATGACCTCCCCGACTCAGAGACTCTGGGAGTCCTCACGTTCCCACCATCCCAAGCAACACCTGCCCTCACAGGAGTGGATTTCCTCCGTGAGATTTATTGGGCTGCAGGCAGCACCTCGCGCCACGGGGACTACCCGGCTTGACACACAGTCTGGGTGGGCATCTCCCCAGGGCTGCACCGAGCCCAGCTTCAGCACACCGTTATTATAACAAACGTATGCAGGGCTTGAAGGTTAGGGGCTACTGCTCTCCACAGCCACATGACCCCACCATTCCTCCAGAGAAGCCATCTCCGCCCACCAGACCATTGGCTGCCGACTGTATCACGAGCTCTCTGTTGCTGCACTGCCAGAGTTCAGGAACACACACCTGAAGACAGACCACCGCTGCCCCATCACTCAGAGGAACAAGGACGTACCGCCCCGTGACCAGGGGACACGGACATGGAGATGACATGAGCGGAGGGGTGGGAGAGATCTTCATCTGCAGCAGCGAATGGAGTCAACATCTCTCTGTGTCTGCTACAGTGCCAAAGATAATGAAAAGGAGAGCACGGAGTAGAAGAGAAAGTAACTGGTTTGTGTGCGTGCGGAGAGATAAGGTGAAAAGTAAACTAGATGACAGTCTAAAAAAACAGGCACTAAACTAAAGTAGTTAGGGCTACTAACTAGATGCTCTAACGGGACTTTTCCATCTCTAGTGTCTATGATTCTGCTTTTTTAAAAAGGGAAGATTAGGAACCGTATGTTCATCTTTTCTTTTTAAGCTATGCTTTAGGAATGATTAGGAACTGAACCACAGCGATGAAAGCAGGCACTTCAGAGAATTTATTTTGCATCTCCTGTGTGTTTTGACCTTAACACCCATGGAGGCGAACTACTGGCTTCTGCTTGCTCCTGGCAGCAAAAGAAAGGACAGACAATGATGACGAAGGTGTTATTACAAGAATAACATGTGGAATTGCAAAGAGATGCAGATCCGTAGGATCTTTTAAGCAACTTGAATGCAGAGGAGTAACAACAGGGCTTTGGGTTCTGGTCCAGCAGATACTTGACTTCTTTCTAATCCAGAGCAGGGATGCTGTGAAATGGAAACCTAGCATCCCTCCAGGGCTTAGGCCAGTTATTTCACTGAAAAGGCTTGTAACTTCCCTCCAGGTTTCCACACCTGGAAGAGGGTTGGATTTGCCAGGTGAGGGAGGATGACCTCTATCTGCCTAAGTGCTGTGCCAGGGAGGGGCAGCGCTGGGCTTGCAGTGGTACAACACAACAGCAGCCGCACGGTGCCTCCCTGTTTACATCACTGCTGCATATACTCAGCTAAAAATAATCTCCTACCTCTGTCCCTCAATCGGTGAGAAAATTAGGTGATGTTTGCACAGAGTGTGAAAATACAAATCCGCCAATATTATAGTGACTTCCCAGAGATCCCTGGGAGGAGTACGTCAGCGAGCCAAGGCTAATGACAACAACGCTATTTTTGTATGGCATTTACTCCTTACAACTTCCACTCCTTCGATAACACCATTCGAAAAGCTCCCTCCTTCCAGGAGTACGTACGCAACTGAAACTGCATTGTAACAAAATACTTTGCAGAGCTACACTACGCACGCAGATACACCCCACTGTACTCCGGGGTCAAGCGACATTGAAGTGCAGCAGCACCACAGTGCCGCTGCTCGAAGCAGCGCCGCTAAATACTGTTCCTTCAACAAGCAGACGAAGCCTTCTTCACGCAGGCAGTTTTTCTAACGAGCAACGACTGCCGCATGCCTGCTAATAAGGCTAAATGCTTTCATGTAGCCACATCGGGCTGAGGGTGAGGTCACCGGAGACTTCAGGCACGTAGAAACGACCTCTGTCTAAACCCAGGCAAGGGAAAACCGGCAGAGCTACGCAGGGACACAGCTGATCTGGGAAGAGACCCAAGTCCTGGAATCTGCAGGAAACCTAAACTAAACCCCCGTTTCTAATGGTACCTCTACGCGACTCGCCCTCCATTCTGGAAGCACCCCCGGTGGGAAACACAGCTGGGGAGTATTTCGGCTGGGACCGCAGCGGGGGGATTTTTTCGCCTGCCGTGACGTCAACCCGCTGCTGGGGGGCTTCTGGAGACGGTGACACTTTGCTGGGTGAGACCCGTGTGCCTGGGCAGGGATTTCTACATCCTCAGCCTGGGCCTGCTTTCTGCCAGAGGATGGCACTGCACCCCCCACACAGCGCGCTGCCTGCGCCCGGACCGCAGCCCGTCCATCGCCTGGGCCGGGCACGACATCACTGGTACCTCTGCTGCCGGCGTGCAGACTGGCGGCCCGGCTGCAGGGAGAGAAACGGGAGCAAGACGAAAACTGCAGACGGGAGACTGCTACTTTCGAAATCTCATTATTCAGGGCAGCAGTGCAAATTACAGTAACCGGTCCTGATCCAAGGACGGCTCCCTCTGATCACAAAGCCTGAGATGCACCAAAATACGGCTGAGCGGTGGGGAACAAAATCATGTCATTACACTGAACGCACCAGAGGCCCAGATTCCAGCAGCTGCGCAGAGGCACGCGCATCCAGGAACAAAACCACACAGGGAATCTGCACGTTTGGCATGAGAGAAGGGACGTGTCATGGGTAGCGATTTGCCATGTACGCGCAGCTGGGGAAGGAAGGCCACAGACTGCTGCGACTGTAACAAATCTTTCGCGTAATCTGTTCCTCGGTACCGTTGCTGTTTGTTCTTCTCCAAACCACCAGCCTGAGGTGCTCTACTACATGTGTCCACGTCCAGCTCCTCTCTCCCCCTCTCTCTTTCTGAGTCTCCAGCACTGAGGGTGCAGCATCAGAGCTGCAGATGCCGCAGTTCGCAGCACTCAAACCACGCCAAGAGGATTTGCAACAAGATTATCTAAAATGGGCACCTCTAGGAAGCAAAACGCTACCCATTATATCTGAACCG